CTTTCTCTCCCTCCTCCTCCGCCTCGTCCTTCTCCCGCTCCCCCCACAAGGAGGATTCACAAGGGGGCGGGAGGAAGGAGGGACAGGGGAGATATACGGAGCCCAGCGGACACACGCCTGAACAACACAACTGTCGACATGCTTCGCGAGAGCTGCTGCTGTGAGATGGGCTGGTGGGGATACGCGAAGCGCAAAGAATTTCAGGTCCATCCCGAGGGGGGCCTCCTTCTGAGATCATGTGCTTGAATGTCCCTGACCAGTTACGACGCGAGTGTAGGGCCCAGGTTGGCTTTGCCTCCGGGGCTTTCTCTTCCCCCCCCTTTCTTCGCGGGCTTTCTGATTGAGGCAGAGGCGTTTACGTTGTTTCTCCTCGGTCACCACGGCCTGCGCGGAAGCGCGGCGGGGCGCTGATCGCCGCCAAGTTTACAACGTCGACGGGTCTATTATGATGTCTCCCAAGGTAGGTTCTAGAGCGCGCGTCATCGGGGGTTTGGGCGTCGCACGTTCTAGAGTGCGCGCTACCATCGGAGCGGAGCTTGGTTTTGCAAGCTCTGTGGGGCCGTGGCCCAAAATCAGTCGAGGCCCCTGGGCGCCCTTTGTCCTGGGCCCCAGGGTGTGACCAAAGCGCGATGTGAATATATCGAATGGATCGCCGTTGGCAGGCAGCCGGATGTCCTCCGCCAGCGCGGGTCGAAGTGGCGCGCGGCCTCTGCTTACCCCCGCTCGCGCGCTGCGACTTGCGGGCGCCGGCCAGGCCCGAGTTTTGGGCGCGGGGCTGCGCGCTGGTCTGTGCGCTCGTTGCCCCGCGGAGCGGCGGCGGCCCCGGCGCCTTCTCGCTGGCGGCAAGCAGGTTTAACGACGAGGGCATCGTCATCCCGTTGTTCGATGGCATCGGGGGCAGCCGCATGGCGCATGACCTCCCGGGCCCGTCGGTCGCCGTTTTCGCAGCGGGCGAGGTGGGTGAAGAAGCGTGCCGCGCTGTCCGCTACGCGTCGCCAGATGAGGTGGAGCTGGGCCACGTGGCCCGCATCGCCCCCGACGCGATCATCCGCCCGCGGGCCGGGCGGCCCGGGCCCCTCTGGCCAGATGGGCGATCCCGACCGCTGGGTAGCCCCGCGTTGACCTGTCCAGGGCCGAGGTGGACAGCGATGGGCCCGCGGGCAACAAGTCGAGGCTCTTCTACGAGGTCCAGAGGGTGTTTGATATCTCACAGCTTATGACGGGCGGTGGGTGCCGCATCTTTCGGCCGATCGAGAACGCGGCCTGGGTGGGCCAGGCGGGCTTGTGCGCCGTGTCGCGGGAGCTTGGCCTGGCCCCCGCGTTCGTTGAGGGCGGCCGGATCACGCGTTGCCCCGTGGGCCGCGCGCCTAGGGGCGACCAGCCGCACGCGGCGCCGCGGCAGGGTGGCGCGGATAATCCCGAGATGGCTGGCGCGCGCATCCACTTGCAGGGGGTTCTGGAACTCAGGGCCTCAGCTGCGGGCAGGTCACTCGTGGCCCGCTGGCCGCAGTGCCGGGGCGCGCCGCCCCCCGTTCCCGCGACGCGCGCCGCGGCTCGCGCCCGGCGCGCCTCCCGCGGAGCCGCGTGGATGCGACGCGGCGGCCTTGCAGCGATGGCGGATGCATTCTTGCTGCCGCCCGCCTTGCCATTTTGCCATTTCGAGGCCGAGAACTGTTTGGTCGGCGCCGAGGGCGAGCTCAGGGTCGCTGGCGCGCCAGAGAGAGACCCCCGCCGCGGCGCGCAGTCGCGGCGCGCCCGACTCGGGCTAGAAAAGAACAGCACTCGTTAGGGCAGTTCCCATACGCGCTCATGGGCAACTTCTACCTGCACGGCGCGGTGGCCCAGCCCCTGGCGCATGGGGCTGTCTTAGGCTAGTGCTTGACGGAGGTGCCGACGTTCACGGAGACGCGCGCTACGGGCAGCGGCTTCGCCGCGGCCGACGGCGAGGCGATGCTGGTGGACGGCGCCCCGCGGCATGAGGAGCGCCTTGGCCCTCCTGCCCCGCTCCGAGTTGGCACCCTGGATGGCGCAAAATTTCGACAGACGGATCTCGAGGGGCCAGGGGCTTCGCAGGGCACCTGCGCGGTGCTGATCGAGGAGCTGGCGAGGCGGGCGGACCTTCGCGGGTCTGACGCACGCCCCGACGTCAACGAGGTGCCTGGCCACGCCGTCCAATATCGGCGGCGTGGTGGACATGGCTCTCGGCGGCGTCCTGGGAGTAGCCAAGAAGCTCGCGCATCGCTGACCTCGAGATCCGCAGTTGCCTCGGGGCTCGTCAGTGGCCTCTGCGACAATTGGGTCAGCTACGCGCGCGGCTTCTGCGTCTAATGGACAGCCGGGCGGACGTCGGCGCGGTGGCGCGAGGACGGACGTCGCCCCGCATCCTGCACGTGGTGGCGAGGAGGATTTGCGCGCAGGCGCTGGCGCCTCTGTCTCGGCCAGCGCATTGCCGCGCAGGGATGGATCGGGAGCGCGCCGACGCGCCGTCGCGCAGGGCCGGCGAAAACGAAGGCGATGGCTAGCCGACGGCCGCGCCGCTTCCCGGCCCCAGCTCGCTCACAGACGGGCCTGCGATCTAGTGCGCCCTCTCGCGTAACCTCGCATAGCCCGCCGCCTTGCTGCGCCATCACAGGGGCGCCGCCGACAATCGCGCTTTGCTGCGAGCGCTTCTGCCTGACCGCCAGCGCAGATGGAGACGTGGGTCATCTTCGTGTTCAGGTCGCCGAATGGTTAGAATTCTTGGGGCGCCGGTCAGAATGTCAACCACGCAGCTGATACTTCTTCAGGGTTGCAGCGTTGGCGCAGGTGACGACGCGCGCCCCCTGCATCCTGCAACCGTCGGGCGGCCAGGGGGCGCGTCGAGCTGCTGCTCCGGGCGCCGCCGACGCCGGTCAATCTTTTATTGGATGCGGCGCGATTGGCTAGATGTTGGGATCGGCGCGATTTGGCCATCTTGCTTTTGCTGGTTTTTTTTATAGGTTTCCTGAGGGCCGCAGAGTTGATGACGCTGTGCCGGTGGCAGGTGCGCGTGGCACGTGGCGTCTGATTTCTCCTTTGCGGTTATCACATTGCCCATCGCCAAGGGCGGTTTGCGACGGCGCGTGGGAGAGTCAGTCGTCCTACCCCTCAGTTGCACAGTTCACCGCTTTCATGCTTCGACTGGCGACATTATATTTCTTCTGGCGGCCACCGTCTCCATGGGCCTGTTCGACGCGCTGCTGCAAGCGCTCCAGGTTATTTGTACGCGATTCAGACTGTGTTCTTTTCGCCGTGGTGGAACGATCCGCTACTTCCGACGGCACCAGAACTTGTCTTTGCCTTCAAATGGGACGCTGGCGGGACACGCGGACTGCGCGTCCGGGTGATGTTGCAGTTGTGTGTCATGTCGTGCCAGCATGGGCCTTTCGCTGTTTTTTTTTTTTTTTTTTTTTTTTTTTTGTTTTATCTTGGCACTTGTTGTGTGATGTTGCGTGATCTCCCTCGCCTACAAAAAGGTGTAATAAGGATGGGGATAGAGGTTCCCTGCTCACTTCAGGGGCGAGCCCCCATCTGCGACTTGTTGCTGGGAGGAGCTGAAGGACAGTGAGGAGTACATGGAAGACCCTGACCACCCCCTCTTAGCTTAGATTATGCTGCCCGCTGGATGGCCTGGCTGTATCCTTGGCGCGGGGCTTTGACCTCGGGGAACGCCCCATCGGTGGCGGCGGTGTCCAGGGTAGCAGAGGGCGGTCATGCCCTCGTGGCCACTCAGGACCTCGGTGGTTTTGCTTTCCCTTTTTGGGGGCCGAAGGCGCGCCCACAAGGGGGCAGGCGCAGACCTCGGCGGTTCTCCCGATCGTGGGACCAACAGAAACCATGGATATGGGCGAAAAGGAAGCCGACGGGGGGTAGTCAAGGCATTTTTTGTGCACACACAAATGTGTGATTTGCCTGCGAAACAGCGGCAAACGAGTGCCGCGAGCAGGCCGGCGCGATGGACATCCATTCAAGGGTGTTGACCGGGCGGCGCCGCTCCCCGAAAGTTCCAAAAAGGATCACCTTGGGTCCAGGGTGGGATTCTGGTTTCTCCGCCGCTCGTCAGATTTAGGTCGGGCCGTTCAGGGTTCGGGAGGAGCTCTGGTTTTCCGGCCGCTTCTGGGTTCTAGCCCGGGGGCGCTATTTGCCGGAGGAGAAGGTAACGATAGCGTCGTTTGGTTTCGTCTGTTTGGGCCTCCTGGAAATCCTTCGTCACCGCGGCTGCATTATCTTCGAAATTCAGGTCACACGCCACTTCGGGAGATCTCCGATCGATATCGGTATTGGTATTTTGTTGCCCCCACCCCAATTCGTGGCCGAGGTTTGCCGTGGCCAGGAAAGCATCGTCGCTCTTTGTTCGCAGTTCTCAGGTCATAATGGCACGATGACTGCGTGGCGGGTGGCGATCAAACATCAGTTGCCTGCCGCCGGGATAGGTTTTGGAGAGGGCGATCAGCGGATTTCAGCGACGACGACGACGACGACATCCACCAGCACACTGTTTAGCGCCAAGTTTATCGAGCTTTCCCTTCAAGAGTTCGTAGTCGTCACCCTTCACTACCTCAGCATGACTGTACCGGGGCATCATGGGCCACGTTGGGGAAGGGATGTGTTCAGATTTGCGCACAAGTGACACGTATGCGGGTGGCCTCTTTTCAAAACGAGGTTGTCGCGGATCACCCAGTGCTGTTGTATGACCATATTGTGCCGCATCTATGTCGTTTCAAGGATGCAAGGCCGTTCTTTGTCAAAGATGGGTTTGCCCGAGTGGCATGCCTAGTGGGTGCTTGCGTGTCAAGGGGGCGTTTCTTCGAGTGAAAAGGACGGCTTGCAGGGACTCGTTAAGAAGGGAAGCGGGCGGGAGGATTTATTGCGGAATCGTTGATACATATTGGGTTTATGTTGGTCGCCATCCTCTTCCTTGTCCTTATTTTTTCTGTTTCGCCCGCATCCCACGACGTTAATGCCAACGGCGACGCCCCGAGGACTACAGGCTGATCGGGTCCCAGAACATGGGGGCGATCCACATCATGGTCTCCTCCTGCGGGGGGACGTCGGTTCGTTTGTTCAGCAAGCGCAAGCAAGGGGCAATGCGTGTGGATAAGCGGCGGGCGCCGCTTTCACACAGAATCGGCGCGCTCCGTCGCCAATTCGGGAGGCCTTGGCCTCATGTTTTGGAGGCTGCCTTCCCCGATCCGTGGATCCGCGCCAGATCCACAGATCCGTAATCCATGTGAGCGTGCGCCCGATGTTGGAAGCCTCGTCGTTGTCGTCGTCGTCGTCGGCGGCGGCGGCGGCGGTGAAAACGGAGTCGTCATCGGGCGGGTCGGGCGGGCGGATCCCAACGGGCGGGTCGGTCGGGCAGCCCCGGACGTGCGAGGGGGCCTTATCATCAGTGGCGACGGGGCCTTATCAGGAGCAACTTGAAGGGGATAGGCTGAGGGGGGAATGCGTGGACCCCTAGTGCTCATACATCGCCGATAGGTGCATGATAGCCCACCCCGCCCTGGAACGCGCGGTTTCGCTATTAGAGCCGATCAGCGATCTATTGACTATGTATCGCCGATTCCAGGTCGGCGTTTCCCACCCTGGGCTGGTCCCCCACTAAGATTCCCCTTCGCTCCTTCGCCTTACGGGCATGCTCAAATGCATGGACGTCGCACGGAGTGGCGTCGGCGCTCCTCCGCTGCTCTCCCAGGGGCCCAGACCAGTCGGGGTTCGAGGCTCGAGGATCTAAGTTTTTGGAGTGTCTGGCCCTCTCTGAGCTTCGGGAGCGTCCTCATCGCCACCGCTGGATTTGCCTCAAGATCTTGCCCCGAACACAGCCGCACGCTGTGATGGGCCTGGGGGTCGAGTTTTGAGCTCTGGGACCAGATTCTCCAGTCAACAATCCCGACGTTTGCTTATTCATAGCCTATGTTAGGTTCTTGTAGGCCTATCCATAGCCTGCCTATAGGCTTGCAGTAGGCCCATGCACAGGCAATGCATCGGAGATTGTTATCTCAGATCCACGCGTCGCGAAAAGATTTCGGCGGAAGGCGTTTGCCAATTTTCTAGCCTATGGGGGAGTTCTTGCAGGCCCCCTGGGCCCTTTGCCGTCGAGAACCGGCTCAGGATTGGAAGCTGGTCCTGGCGACCTCAAGAGGAGAGCACCCCTCATGACTCCAAAGTGGACCGAAGGGCTGGGGGTAGCCAGGGACGCTTCTTGCAGCACCCGAAGAGTCGTTTCGCCCTCTTCGGCACCCAGAGGCCGCTTGTCGGGGCCTGTGGACCGCCAAAAGCGTCGCCAGGATCACAAGCCCGGGAGAGGGGTGTCGAGCTCTTCGGGCCAGCTTCTGGACAGGAGTCGAGTCGTCAGAGGCCTGGCTCCCCTGCTGTCTTGTTCTCGGCGAAGAACAACACCGCATTCTGTGCCGCCCCAAGATCCGTGCGGAGCTCCGACAGTGTATTGGCATGCGGCATGCAGTTGTTCATTATGGTATGTTCTCCTCCTACCTCTTCCCCTCTCTCCCCAGACGTGCCTGCTCACCAGGGGCTCGGGGCCTTGTCCAGGCTCGCTCGGGGTCTCGTCTCCGAAGCAGGAGTGAGGCCCCCCGTGAGGGACTTACTCGGTGGTCTCGGACCTCCTGGGCCTACGCCTGCTCACCGCCAGCTGAGCGACGCAGGAAAGCGGGGTCGTTCTCTCCGACATTGGCGCGTAAGCTGGCCGAGTAAATCGCGCATCAGCGACCTCGTTTCCGACTGGTGTGCCTCGCTGGCGGCCCGCGTACGCCGCGGCGTAAGGTCGTTGTGCCATCTCGCGTAGGACCCCTGTCCTTTCGTCGCCCATCATCTCACCGAATCTGAGACTCTTCGGATCCCCCCCAGGGGCCTGGGACTAACGGCCAAGACGCGCAGGACGCCGCGTGCACCTAGCTTGGGGAGCCTTGGGCCCCTTGGGTCAAAGAAGAATCAACTGCACAAACATAGGCTCTCGGCGGTCCGCTCGGATTGATTGGATCGGCGCTGGGACCCCGTGACGACGCCTCCGCGCCGCCCCTGGCGCGCCCTGTGCACCAGGGAGGGGGCCCAGCGCCGATTCAAGCAATCCGCGCGAACCTCTGGCCGTTTATGTTTACGCAGTGTTTTCTGATTATAACATTGCTGGGGAGCCTTGGGCCTTTTGGATTCGAGGAGGGCATCGTTTCAGGGGACGCTGGGTTCTTGTGGAGGTGTGCTGTGGCCTTCGTCTTGCTGTCCTCTGTGCCCATGTCTTCCGTGCCCATGTCCTCGGGCCCTCCTTCGGTTCCCTTCGCCAAGTGGTCGTCGTCGTCGGGCGAGGAGGAAGCGGAGGAAGGAGTATTCGAACATCACGGCTAGATTGTGCACGTTGCTGCATGGTTTTTGGGCCTGTAGAGACTCCCCCCACACGCATTCCCTACTCAGCTCATCATGATCCTTCCCTCCCCTGCTCGCTCCCCCCGTCGCCGTCCCTCCTTCCCCTCCTCTGTTGTTGCTGTACATGGTCCCGCCGATTTCTCCTCAAGTTCTCTCTTGTTCCCGTCGCGTTCGCCACCGCTCTGCCGCGCGCGACCCTCGGTTGCTCAGGGGACCTTGCCATGTCGAGACTAGCAAAACAACATATCATTATTCAACAGGAGGGGCGACGGTAGCCCAATGTTCGGAGGCAAGGACGTCTGCATTGGAGGAGGAGGAGGAGGAGTAGGATGGGGCGGATCAAGAGGAGATGCTCCAGGAGCCTCTAGAACTTCGGAGAATCTCCGAAGCCAGGCAACAAGCAGCCAGAACCTTAGATAGTCGCAGCACCTCATGTTCGATGACTTGTATTCGAAGGAGGAGCGCCCTGGTGTCAGAGGGCTGACGCCAAGGGGGGCCGTGAGGCTAGCGGCACAGAGCACAGAGGTCCTCTTCCGCGGAGCGACATCTGCGCAGCTGCAGCTGAGACGGGAGCCATACCACCTACACGGAGGTCTTGATGATCGTTTCAGTCACCATGAGTGCCGCGGATGTTTATTGGCCTCGGGTTGTGCCCTTGGGTTGCTGCCACAGGCTGCGCTAACTGCTGCCGCCGATATCTGGGTGCAGTCGGTCGCGCAGGTTGCGTCCTTATGTTGCCGTCGGTGTTTGGCACCTATTGCTATTGTTCTGCATTGCTTTCTTGTTCGTTGTGTTGTTCACTTGATGCGCGTCACGTCTCCTAGTTTGAATTGGGTTGCTGCGCATTGCCTTACATTGTATGCGTTGCCTCGCGTTGGTGTGCACTGGTAGGAATTTTTCTTCGCACGGCTTTGCTTTCAAGGCTTTTACGCTTTTTGTTTCGGGACCACGTTGTAATGTTTCGTAGTACCAGTATGACATGGCAGCGGGTCCTGGCTGGGGATGTATTCTTCGCCAGTTGCAGTTCTGCGACTCTAGAACCTTCTGTTTTCTCCTCTATCCTCCGCTCTTCCCCCTCCTTTCTATTCCTCGTCCCTCCTCATCCATCCTCACTTTTTACTTAGAGTCTTCCCGCCCCCATTTTCAGAAACCCTTGAACACCACCAAGACTCGATACAATTTCTATTTCAGATTTTCTCATCACGCCATCCTCCTCCCCAACCCCCCTCCTCCCCAGCCCTCTTCCCCGGTCCTCCTCCCTGGCCCTTTCTGGTTTTCCCCGCTCCTCCTCCTCCTCCCCAGACATCTTCCAGCGTGATTGTTTCACAACGTGGTTTTCCAGAGGTTTGGACACTTACCCTGGGACCAGTGTTTCATCATGAGTACTTCTTGACGGTCGCGGGACTTGGTGAGGACCCCGGAGGCCGAAACGCGTCAAACATTTTCCGCCGTGTTTTTGATTTGCAACGAGAGGATGCCCGAGCTTACCGATTCCCCTCGATCTTCCTACATCCTCCTCCCTCTCTGCGCCCCGAGGGAGACTGTGCTGAAGGGTGTTGGTCTCCTCCAGTGCGATTTGTTCTGCGTCCAGGGTCTCGGAGAGAAACCCGTCGAGACGGGTTGGGGGAGGACTCCGTTCCAGAGTCCGACGAAGGCGATCTCTGCCAATTTTATTTGCGTTGAGCGCGATCCAAAACAACTCCTTCGCTTCCCTCTCTCTCCCTCTCCTCCGCCTTCCCTGCGTTCTGCTCCTCCCCGCGGGTCAGTGGTGAAGGTTCTCGCGCACCAGCACCTGTGGAGATACTGCTGGGACTCGAAGAACGCGCAGGCGCGCGCCACTCTCCTCCCTCCACCCCATCTCGGAGGGAGAAAAGGTATCGATACCATCCGATACCGCCATCCATTCCTTGGTGTTCGCCTTTTTGGGCCTCCTGTGAGGCCCTCGCAGTCACGGCTGGATTCGCCTCGGAACTCGAGTCAGAGAGCACCCCGGCAGAGGTCCAGGGAGTTAGCGGTATGGGTGTAGTGTCATCCTCTTGTTATTGGTAAATCACGACGTATGTATGTTTGTTCTTTCAAAGTTCTGTCTCCGGGGGCCTTCGCCCCGCCTTGGGACCGTCAACAACAAGAGTCGGGATGGAAAGCCAGTCCCCGGCAAGCGGTCCAGACCTCTGGAGAGCCACGTTGTCACAACGTTCAAGTGCCTAGGTCTCCCTTCCTCCGCTGTCGCCCTTCCTCATCATTGCACTCTTTGTGCTCCGCTTCCTCCAGCCTCCTCTTGCGCCCACCTTCCTGGTGCTTCATCCTTTCTCGTCATCCCAACCCTCGCGTCCCCCCCTCCTCTTGGCCCAGGGTGGTCTTCCTTCTCCTCCTCCTGCCTTTGCTTATCCTCCGCCATCCTTCACATCTTGGCTGTCCCCTCGCATTGTCTACGGGAGACTCGGTTGCACAGTCTGGGACACGGTGGCGAACCCGCAGTGCAGTGACGGCGTTGGTGCGATCTGTATACGTGTGCGCCTCGAGCTTCTGTAGTGATAGCGGTCAAGGATACCGGCTCAGTGCGGCTCGGCAATGTTTAGCCATCACCCTGCCGAGGGTGCCACTGCATCGCTGGCTGGCAGCCGTTCCAGACACCTTGGGATGCGGTTCTCTGCTACAGCGCTGCAACCAGTTGGGTGTGTACGAAGTGGCAGCACGTTTTATGTGTGCGTGTCTAGCTCATTTCATCGTTCGGATCATGGCGTGTGACGCTTTTGTAGCATCACGGTTGCCGCATTCGGTAAATGCACACGATGGTGTTTCCGCGAAGCATGGTCATTTGTCCTGGGCAATGGTCTGTTGAGAGAATCTTGCGAGTCGTTCCGGACCGACTTTTTGTCAGTTCTGTGCGTATCGTTTGACCGAATTGTGCCCACGTAGACCAACGACGATTTCGACGTCCTCCCCCGCAGGCAGCACTATTTTGCTCCAGCTGGTACGATGTCTTTCTCCGCACCCTCTGCGGAGAGTGGCCTGCCTTTACTTGCCTAACCACCTCGTGTTCGCTACCGCCTTGTGCTTGCAGGCGTACTTCTCATGTCCCCGGCTCTCCCACATCTGGTCTGCATCACGTGATCTACGGAGTACGATGGAGTGGATGTTGGATATCGTTGTTGTTTTTCCTCCTCATCCTCCGTCGAGGACGCCAAGTATCCACATAACCACGCCGATCCTGGTCCTGTGATCCTTGAGCCCGTGGTGTGTGTACGCGTTCCCCCTCCTGGCCAGGCTGGCTCCATCGTCCCTCTCCCTCCTCCGGCGTCACGGTCACCGCCCTGCCCCTCGCAGGGCCGCCCCGCGAAGAAAGCGCGTTGTCCAGTGCATCCCGTTCCCCCCCCCCTCCTGCAGCCTCCAGCCTCCCCTCCAGCCTATCGCCCCGACTCTGGTTGGTGCCTTCGCCTTGAACATCAAGCTCGAAGAACTCAAGGCTCTCCCCGACTGGTGAGGTGGTCGCAGGCCGAATGGCTCATTTTGTGCGTAGAGGCGCCTGGCCGCTAGGTGCACGCCGCTCAGTGGCGGTGCGCGCGGGTATTGATTTCGCTTCGCGATGCCCGTTTCCGCAATCATGCACCGTCATGCACCGCAATCATCCACCTCCAGCCTCCATCTTTCCTCGCAGTCGCAGTTCATGTCTGAATATTCCAAGAAGCCCTGGCCTCCCCCGCCTGGTCTTAATCAGGCCCGTGCAACTGTCCGAAAAGGTTGCTGTTTTTTTTGGCTAGCCTTCCCTCCAAGAAGGAGCACAGTGCATAGGCTTAGAAACTTGGCGGAGGTCCGCGCGGATTTCTCTCATCGGCGCTGGGCCCTCTGGCGGCTCGTGCGGCGCCGCCCTGACGCGCTCCGCGCGCCAATGAAGGGAGCCCAGTGGCAGTCCAAGAAATTCGCGCGGACCTTCGAAAGGGTTAGGTTGACGATACACTTGTTTTGTCCTTCATCCCTCCCTTCCTACCCTAGGATGCCGCTCCTGGAAGGCTAAACTCGGCATCGTCGCTGGTATATCCGTGGTCCCAAACCGGCCTAATCCAGCGTAGTTCCGCCCAATCCGGTTGAATCCCGCTCGGGACGGGCCGCAGAGGAGGACCACGGCCGCGGCCACGAGGAGGAGCACGAGCAGCCCCGCAGGTGCGAGATGTGCAACGGTCTCGATCGTCAGAGCAGACCTCGGCTGGCGCTGTGCTACCATAGGGGGGCGAAAGATAAGAACGCAGCCCAGCTTGGCCCCAGAAGCGCCTGGGCCCGAGAGGAGCGCACGAGGAACAACCATGGAAGGACCCAAAGAACAGCGAGCCCGTCCGAACCCGAACTTGTTCATATTTCAGCCTCTTGACTGCATTCGACTTATCGACCTTTGTCACACATCGGCCTTGGGCGAAGTTCGGCGGTCCTCTGACGGTATTCGGGGGTCCTCGGCGGTTTATGGTGGTTTTCGGCGACATGCTTCACGTCGCAGCGCGGCAGAGGCGATCCGCACGCGCGCTCTAGCGGGCGGGGCTCGGGCACACATTAGTTGTCCGGCTGCAAGAGACGAGAAGGGACCAGATGGCGGCTGCGGAAGGCGGCGGGAGAGAGGGCGAGGGCACTCTGTGCGCGAAGACCTTCGTCAGGAGTGGCCGGTGCGGCCAGCCTGAGCTGAAGCAGCCTGGCAGTGGACGCGGAGCGGCAGCACGACCACACCCATGGGCGGAGGCAGAGGCTGCAGGCGCAGAAAGCGTAGACCAAATTGGACCAGTGCGGGAGGAGGAGCGGCGAGCGAACCCACAGAAGCGGGCAGCATCCAAGTGTTCCTCAGACGGGGCCGTGGGGGACAGGCTTTTGCTGCAGGTACGGCGTCAGCGGGATGCGGGAATGCCCAAGCGCTCGCAGGGGCTGGGCCAGCGACCAGCTTGCTGCAGCAACATGGTGCTGTAATGCCATGCTGGACTGCTGAGAGCAGACCTGCAGGTCGGCCGGTTGCAAAGCTGCCGGCACTGGCAAAACAAGCTGCAATATTGCCGGGGGCTGCTGAGCTGCACAGCGCCAACCACTGAAGTGGCGCAGCGCGGCGAGGGCGCCCACTACCGAAACGGAGCGCTGATGCGGCAGGGTGGAAGGCGGGGAAAGGGGGAGGGCCGGTTGGCTTGGCCGGTGCACGCATCACAGCCAGGGGGACCAGGAACGCACGGCCGCAGGAATGGCCAGGCGTGAGAGCCCAGCTGCAGGAGCAACGGGGCAGGCGAAAGGGAGATTCCACCAGGGGGGTGGACGCTCCAGCCAGGTCAAAAAGCAGGGGGAGGGAGAAGGCGGGGAAGGAAAGGAAATGCAAAAATAGCCAGTGTTGCGCGATCGGCGGAAATCCAGCCGAACTCAAAAGATCGCCCAGCCCACCCCGCACGGTCCCACCGTCCAGCTCCAGGCGATCGTCCCCAGCCACCGGATAGCTGGCGGTCAGATCAGTCGTGACGGCCATCTGGCCGCCGGGTTTTTTCCCCGCCGCCACGGTCTCAGCGGCGTTCGTCGTCGGGAACCAGCGTCGGACATGGGAAGGGTCCGGGTCTGGGGAGACCGCTGCACTGCTGACGTGCCGTCCGGCGGACCCGCGAAGGAACTCATTGAATTCTTTGCCCGCCGCCAGCCCCCGGGAGCCTGGCGCGCAGCCCGAACGACGGTGCCTTTCTGCGTCGGGGTCGCCCCCTCAGGGGGGGGGGTCAACCCCGCGCACAGACAGGCACCCAAGTCCCCAGGTGTGCCGGCGATCGCAGGACAACATTGGGGTGGGGCGTCCGCCTTCGCGTGGGCAGTCACCTCGTTCAATCCGCCAGACCCGCCGGTGCTAGGCCCGTCCCCAGAAGGGGAGGGCGTCGGGTCATGGGATCAACCCTGTGTGTTAAGGAAGTCGGGAATCACCGACGCAGGGACGCCAGGGACGCGACTGATCGTCGCGCGGACTTGTAGTGACGAGGCGTCCCCCCTGGGGAGGGCAACTCAAGCAGTGGCGAAGCCTCCTGGCTTGCCTACGGGCCCTCCAAAGAATGTTCTAACAACCTTGCGTGGTCTGCACGAATTTGTCGTATACATTTCTGGCTGAGACTGTCTTGTATTAACACATCGGTCTTATGTGTTAAGAACATTGTTCGATTTCTTAGAACATTTTTGGGTTCTAAAACATGTCGTGGTAGGCCTCTAGGAATGCTGGGACGGTCGGTCCCTGCTCAAGCAACTGCTTCGCTCCCTCCTTTTGGCCCGCCCTCTCCAAGGCCATTCTTTGGAGGGAATAGGTTCGTGATTGATCGTCGCAAGGAACAGTGAGGTCAATGTCGCGGTCGCTGCCGCTCCTGCGGGGAAGCCTGGGAGGGTCACCCCGAGGTCCTGGCTTCGGCGAAACAAGCACTGACAGAAACATGAGCTTTCGAGGGTGCGCTCCCTGGACCGGTACCCCCATAACGTCGGCGGCGAAATCCGAACCTTTCCTTCGCCGATCAACGATTCAGGCAATTCGATGTGCGGCGGAGGTAGGGTTCGGAATTCGTTGAAAACGTGGCGAAGTCCGAAATTTCCCCCCGCCTCCCATCTACTGAGTCGATGGTTGGTGGGATAGGGTTCGGATGTCGCTTCCTAGAACGTCTCCTCGCTCCCTCTCCGCCTGCGCCAGCTTCCCTCTCCGACATTGCAGCCGGAAGGTGGCGACGGGATTCGGCAACGTTGTGGGCAACAAGGGCGGCACCCAGGTTGCGTGATGCGGTAGCCTCGCGTCAGCGGAAGGGGAAGTTGGAGGAGGAGGAGGAGGAGGACAAACGCTGCAATCGCTGATTGAAGTCCGCTCAACGCAGAAATGAGGAATGAGAATGACGGGGAGATCGACTTTCATTCCCCAATCAGAGCTTGCCTCTGTAGGGGTCCTAGCGGTTTCATATGGTTTGGTTAGGTTTGTCGCCGATTTTCGCTGCACGCCCGGGTGCCCGGGGGTGCCCGGGGCCCGGGTGCCCGGGGGGTGCCCGGGAGTGCCCGGGTGCCCGGGTGCCCGGGCGTGCCCGGGGGTGCCCTATAGCCCTATAGCCCTAAGCCCTATAGCCCTATAGCTCAATAGCCCAATGCCCAATAGCCCTATAGCCCTACAACTCTATAGCCCTATAGCTCAATAGCCCTATAGCCCCCTAGCCCTATAGCCCTGATTGGGTTTTTTCTCTGGTATCATTCAAGTGGAGAGGAGGGGGATGATATACGATAATGAGGAGCAGGAGGAGCAAGGGGCGGACAAGGGGAAGAGGGAGATGCAGAGAAACAGGATAGAGGTGCAGATGTGGCTAGAGGATCCAGCAGCATCGTCGAAGGAGTCCTGGGCGGTTCCGGCAAACCACCGCCAAGGATAAACTCGGAGGGTCGGCCAGCGCTGGCGGAGCGGAGAAGCCGTCCAAAGAGAGTCTGAGTTTTCGTGTGTTACGTGTGACGCTTGGTCTTTCTAGCTGAGGCTCCCTTTTGTCCACGTTAGGCAAACATGAGGCGGGGCCTGTTGCGTTATGTGATGATCCAACAGAAATCGCCGAGTTCGGCGGAGTGAACACCAAATTACGCTTGGCTGGCGCAGGAGAAAAGTTCCCGAATTGAGAACAGGAAAGTGAGTGGGTCCTCAGGGGCGCAGAGTCTGCGCCAGCCAGGCGGTGAAGTCCCACTTCTTCTCACTCCCCACCTACACCCGACAACTCCGTGGCTTCTAAGTATCGCGTGGCATCTGAATCCAAAACGTTGCCTCCCCAAGAGATCAGCGATTGAAAAAGCCGGTCTTTAATCACACTTGTCTTAAAGCAGTCTCAGGGGCATCCCCCAGAACATCCACAAAAGCAATACCGGAATAAGCATTGCAGCCGATGTTGTTTCTTGGCTGCTTGGTCGCGTGTGCACGCGCGAGGTTAAAATGTTAAATGCTTCGCATGGCTTCAGCCTCCTCCCCCACCAATACCCCCGCCTCCGCCTCCTGCAATGCTGCTGGCGGCTGCACGTACAACGCTGCAGTGTGCGCATACAGGGGTGAGAGGACTTACAAAACGAGGCCTTAGTCCTCCACATCACCCCATCAATTCTCACCATCCGTCGCACCGATAGAAGCAACGAATGTAAGCAGTGTGTACATCGGCACAGTTTGCATAGGCTGGCCGGTTTGGGCACCAATGTGTGGCGCAATTGTATTATTGGACCGACGCTTAAATTTGTACACTTCTGCTTATGTGCAGGCAGGCTGGCGTGGCAGAGTCAAACATCAGGTGATACCTTCCCACATCCACTCTCATGACCTGATGTGCCACCACCTCCCTTCTCCAATGAGCCGATAGTAAGATGCCGTGGCTGTTGAAAAGACCGTTCGGGGTTGTTCGAATCTACTATTTTGGAATTGGCAGGCCCACAAGTGTTGAGACGTGGACTCGAAAGCTTAAGTTGAACTTGAAATTCGTGAGGGCACGAGTGGCACGGTAGTTTCACAGATGGCACGATTGAGGCTTCCCCCTCCCCATTTTCTCAGATCCCCGATCAAGCCGTGAACCTAGACAGATGGCAGAAAAATGTGGCCTCCCACAAACGCTACAGGAAATTGAAACACAGCTGAACCAGGCCACCGACACCGAAGTGGACCGGTCAAGCGAGAGAGCCAACAGGCCTGGCCCGAGGTGGTTGCTTGTTGGCGCTACGTTGTGAGCGGAAGCCTTCCGCGCTCCGCAAGCCAGATGTATGTACGTTGGCGAGCACGCACCCTACACCACGTGCGGCGGAGGCGGAGGAAGAGGAGGAAGAGGAGGGACGCAGACTCCGTAGTCTGCCCGGGTGGCCACTTGCCTCAAGGACCGACCACCGCCACGCCAAAGGAAGACGGAGGCGGAATGGGCCGAGGAGCGGGGCTACACAGCCGCTGTTCGTCTCGGGCGCCGTTGCGCTGGAACATTCACCGCAACATCAATGTGCTCTGTCCGCGAAAGGCTGAACATGAATCAACCGAACGACCGCAATAAATGCCATCCCCTCCAACCCCCCAACCCACATACATCCTCCCAACCATGATGAAAGATTGGCCGCCCGTGCGCGCCAATCGGCTGAGAGACGCCGACACGTCAAAGGAACAGGGGGCGGGATGGACCGAAAAGCGGGGCTATATTTAGCCGCTGTTAGTCTCGGGCGCCGCTGCGCTGGGAGATGCATGACATCATCAACGTGCTCGGTCCGCAACAGGTTGCAAAAGAAGCAGAACGACCGCAATGAATGCCATCTCCTCCACCCCAAATGTCCCGTGCGTGCATCAGGAGTGAAGACAGACAGACCAGCCGATCGTGCACGCATCGTCTCGTGCGCTGCTGCGCCGAAACATGCCCCACAACATCATGGTGCTCGATTCACACGGGTTGCACAGGAAGCAACCAAGCGCTCGCAATGAATGCCGTCTACCCCCCTCCACCCATCCGTCCTCAAACAAGGCGCCCAAACCCGTCCCAAGGGAGGGAGGAGGGAGTAGGAGGGAGGAGGGAGGAGGATGCGGCCACCAAAATCACATGTATTGAACAGTGTGAAATGCCACGCGTAAGGCTTCGATGCTATAGGAATGTCTGTCAAATTCAGCCGTTTGGAATTGTGACACACAACCACACACGGCTGTACATGATGCCACACTGGTTCGCCATGTTCCTCTATGCGAGGAAGGAGTGCCTCCACTTGGTCATCGAACGATTGCGCAGACTATTCGTCCTCTCTATCCCCGACCCCGTTCTGGCCATGCCACATCGAGATCGCCTCACAAAGTATTGCGCTTGGCATTGATATGCTGTCAATGTAGATACCCGCATCTGTTAGATATGCAAGGTGGTCGCACACACACACACACATATATATATATATATATATGTATATATATATGTATGTATACACGCACACATTATTATGCACATGTGCTCTGCTCATCTAGGAAGCGAACAAACATGGCACAAAGGTCCCGACCAGTTGGTGGTGCAGGAGTCGGTGGTTTTGCTTGGGTCTGTGGTGTTGCTGGGCTCGGTGGTGTTGCTAAAGTTAGTCATGCTGCTAGAGCCGGCGTCGCTGATGCCAGAATCGGTGGTGCTGCTGGAGTCGGTGGTGCCGCTGGGGTCGGTGGTACAGCTGGGGTCGGTGGCGCTTCTGTCGGAGTCGGTGGTGCTGCTGGAGTCGGGTGCTACTGGGGTCGGTGGCGCCGCTGTGGTCGGTGGCGCTGGAGTCGGCGGCGCTGCTGCAAGAGTCGGCGGTGCTGGGGTCGGCGGTGCAGTTGGGGTCGGCGAGGCTGCTGGAGTCGGCGGTGCTGCTGGGGTCGGCTGTGCTGCTGCTGGAGTCGGTGGTGCGTCTGGAGTCGGTGGTGCTGCTGGGGTCGGCGACACCGCTGGAGTCGGTGGCGCTGGGGTCGGCGACGCTGCTGCCGAAGTCAGCAGTGCTGCTGGAGTTGGTGGTTCTGATGAGCTCCGTGGTGCTACTGGAGTCGGCGGTGCTGGTGGAGTCGGCGGCGTTGATGCTGGAGTCGGCGGTGCTGCTGGAGCAGGTGGTGCTGCTAGGGTCGGTGGTCCTGCTGGAGGCGGCAGTTCTGGAGTCGGTAGCGCTGTCTGTGGTGCTGCTGGGCTCGGTGGTGTTGCTGAAGTTGGTGGTGCTGCTGGAGCAGTCGTCGTTGATGTCAGAACCGGTGATGCTGCTGGAGTCGGTGGTGCTGCCGGGGTCGGTGTTGCAGCTGGGGTCGGTGGCGGTGGCGCTTCTGTCGGAGTCGGTGGTGCTGCTGGAGTCGGCGGTGCTGCTGGGGTCGGCGGCGCCACTAGAGTCTGTGGCGCTGGAGTCAGCGGCGCTGCTGCCCGAGTCGGCGGTGCTGCTGGAGTCGGTAGTGCTGAAGCCGGCGGCGATGCTGCCAGAATCGGCGGTGCTGGTGTCGGCGGTGTTGTTGGGGTCGGCGAAGCTGCTGGAGACTGTTTTGCTGTTGGAATTGGCGGCGCTACTGCCGGAATCGGTGGTGCTGCTGGAATTTGTAGTCGGCGGTGCTGCAGGGGCCGGTGGTGCTGCTGTAGTTTGTAGTGCTGAAGTCGGCAGCGCTCCTGCCGATGTCAGTGGTGCTGCTGGAGTTGGTGGTTCTGATGAGCTCCGTGGTGCTGCTGCTGGAGTTGGTGGTGCTGCTGTAGGCGGCGCTGATGCCGGAGTCGGCGGTGCTGCTGGAGTAGGTGGTGCTGCTAGGGTCGGTGGTGTTGTTGGCGGCGGTAGTGCTGGAGTCGGTGTCGTTGATGCTGAAATCTTCGGTGTTGGTTTCGTTGGTGCTGCTGGGGACGGTGGTGCTGCTGGAGACTCTGTTGCTTCTCAAGCTGCTGCTGGAGTCGGTGGCGTTGCTGCTGCTGGGGTCAGCGGCGCTTTCGCCGGAGTCGGTGGTGCTGCTTGAGTCAGTGGTGCTGCTGCTGGAGTCGGTGGCGTTGCTGAAGTTGGTGGTGCTGCTGGAGCCGGCGTCGCTGATGCCGGAGTCGGTGGTGCTGCTTGAGTCGGTGGTGCTGCCGGGGTGGGCGGTGCAGCTGGGGTCGGTGGCGCTTCTGTCGGAGTCGGTGGTGCTGCTGGAGTCGGTGGTGCGGCTGGGGTCGGCGGCGCCGCTGGAGTCTGTGGCGCTGGAGTCGGCGGCGCTTCTGCCAGAGTCGGTGGTGATGCTGGAGTCGGTAGTGTTGAAAGCTTCGATGCTTGGGTCGTTGCTGGAGGCTGTACTGGGTCGCGTGCTGATGTCGATGCGGGAGTCGATGCTGGCATCGTTGCGGACGCAGATGTTGGCACCGATGCTGGAGAAGATGGTGGTGTCGGTGGTGTATACGATGGTGGTGCCGGTGACGACTTCGTCCTAGATGTCGGCGTGGGACGAGTATGAAGAATTGCGGCCAAACTCGGGAGCCACGGTCGACGCCCCGTGGTTGGTGGCGTCGATGCTGGCGTTTGTGCAGACGCGATGCGGGTGTTGACGCTGGCGTGGCTGAAGGCGTAGCTGCTGCCGTTGATACAAGCGTCGCTGCTGGCGTCGCTGCAGGCGTTAGTGGTTGCATCGTGACTGGTGTCGTTGCCGCTGTTTTGTCTGATGTGGTGGGTGGTGTTGTCGGTGCTTGTCCGGAAGGCTGGCTCCGGTGCTGTCGTGAAGGCTGGTGTGAATGTCTGCGCTGGTGTAGGTGCTAGCGTCGATGCTGAGATTGGTAGTGATGTATATGCAGGCGTCGATGGTCGTTCTGATGCTTGCGTCAGTGTTGATGCCGTTGTTGTCGCCAGGGTTGTTGGTTTGCCTATCGGTGCTTTGCTGGTCAGAGGTCTGTAGCCTGCTGGTTGGTGGTCTGCTGGTTGGTGAATCTGCAGTGTAGCCGGCGGTGCTCCTTGAGTCTGTGGTGCTGCTGGAGTCGGTGGTGGTGCTGCATTCGGTGGTGTTGCTGGAGTAATCGGCGCTGATGCCGGAGTCGGCGGTGCTACCAGAGTCGGCGGTGCTGCCTTCGACTACACGCAAGAGTGAGCTTTCGCCGGAGTGACCTTTGGTGCACGCCCACTGGGCCCCCCCGATCGCCGAGTGCGGTGCGATAGTAGCGTATTGCCGGCTTTTGTTGGCCCCCCCCCGCGGCCCCCAAAAAGCCGCGCACCAAAGGTCACTCTTACCCAGGGTCACTCTTACGTGTAGGCGATACCTCGTCAGGTTGCTGTTTGGGGTGTCGTGGCTGTCGTGGTAGCCGCCGTGGTGTGCTTCCTCGTACACGTCGCTGTCGTGGCTGTCGTGGTTGTCGTGGTAGTCGTCGTGACGTGCGTCCTCGAAGAAGTCGCTATTGCTGCTGTCTTGGTTTCCGTGGTGGCCGCCGTAATTTTCTTGCACGTCGGAGTCGTTGCTGTTTGGTGGTTGCCGTAGCGGTTGTCCTGGTGCTTGGTGGCAATCATGGTGACCACTTTTGTGTCTGTCGTAATGACTGTCGTAGTGGTCATCGTAGTGGCTGTTGTGACGACCGTCGTGTTGCTTGTGTGCTGTTCGGTAGTCCGCTGGTCGTTGGTCTGCTTTACGGTAGTTTGATTGCATGGGCGTACCGCGGGTTGGGTCGTCTGAAAGGGGGCGGGGAGGGCATCGGACACGACGTCGGTAGGAGCGTCTAGGATGATTTCGTGCGGTTGGTCGGCGAATCGGACCTCCCAGAGTCGTGCTGTCCGTCGTTGGCCGCGTAGGAAGGTTGGCTTTTGTGCTGTCTTGACAGCTGGTGCGAGTGTCTGCGCTGGTGTAGGTGTTGGCGCCGGTGCTGGTGTTGATAGCGACGTGGATTGAGGCGTTCATGGTGGTTTCAAACTATGCTGGCGTCGGTGTGGATGTCGTTGTTGTCGCCCGGGGTTGCTGATCTGCTGGTCGGCGCTTTGCTGGTCAGAGGTCTGTGGTCTGTTGGTTGGTGATCGTGTTTGTCGCGCATCTTGTAAAAGGCAGTGTCGTTGTCGTCACAGAGGCTGCCTGAAGCCCGTGACGGCGGAGGCGGCACTCGCACAGGTAGAGCTTGTAGTGGTGGCGTAGCTGGTGCCTTTGTGACGTGTGTGTCGTGATCGTCGGTGTCGTTGCAACGGGTGTAGTTGTATGCGGCCCGTGACGGGGGAGTTCTCATTTTTTTTGTGAATGGATGCATGGAGAAGCATGCCTTGTAGGGGCCGTTACAAGCCGAAGGGGCTGCAGGCTTGGCAAGATTGGCGGGAGTAGGAGTCGGCGGTCAGTGTGGCTGCTGGTCAGCAGTCGGTGGTCTGCTGGTTGGTGTGCTGTAGTCGGCTGTCTGCTGGTCGGTGGGTGTACTGCTGGGTGGTCTGCTGGTGGTCTGCTAATTTGAGCTGCAGTGGTGGCTGTCGTGGTGGCTGCCGCGTTGCTGTAGTGGTGGTTGTCGTGGTAGCTGTCGTGGTTGTTGACGTGGTGGCTGCCGTAGTGGTTGTCGCGGCTTTTGTAGTGGTAGCTGTAGTGATAGCTGATGTAGTAGTTGTCGTGGTGATTGTCGTGGTGGTTGTCGTGATGCCGCTGTGGTGGTTGCCGTGGTTGCTGTCGTGGTGTTTGTCGTATTGTTGCCGTGGTGGCAGACAAGGTGGCTGTCGTGTTGCTGCCGTGGTGGCTGGCGTGGTGGCTGTCGCGTTGCTGTAGTGGTTGCCGTGGTGGTGATTTTCGTGTTAGCTGTCGTAACTAGTAGTTGTCGTGGTGGCTGCCGTGGTAGTTGTCGCGGTAGCTGTGCTGGTCGTTGTAGTGGTAGTTGTCGTAGTAGTTGTTGTGGTATTTGTCGCAGTGGTTGTCATGCTGCTGCCGTGGTGGCTGTCGTGGTGGTTGTCGTACTGCTTCCGCAACGAAATACTTATCCCGACCCTTGTCCGGGGGAAGAATCTCGCAGGTTGCACGGCGTTTTTTGGAGGCGCGCGCGCGCGCCTGTGGCTCAAACGCTGGCGCACCTCGTTTGTGGAGGCTGCCACTCGCCAAACTATTGTCCGTTGGCTTGGGTTCGGGGCTCGTCATTCTGCTGGGGAGCGCGGAGCAGAAACGGTTTCGCCCCGGCGCGATTCCGGGCATGGCAGGCGACGTGGAACGAGTTCGGGGATAATTATGTACACATTGCTTGTCCTTTGCTTTGCCTTGCGAGAGGCTTCCTGGGGGCGCGGCAGGGCGCGACGTGTCTCGGCGCGTGGGCGTTCACAAGTCTGTGGGGGCCAGGGGTTTTATGGTTTGGGGATAACTGTGTTAGGTCTCTTGGGGTCTGATCAAGTTGTCCCCCAAACGTTGGGGGCACATCAGCTCGGGGGAGTTCAGGCAATTTGGGCGGTCCCCATCTCGGCGGCTTTCCCCTGGAAGGATGCTGCGCGGGCTGATCTCCCCCCGTCCGATAGGGCTGATTGCTCATGATATTTGTTCTTCGCCTGTACGATACTTTTTCCAAAGATAGGCGGACGAGTCCTTTGGCCTATTTGGTCTGTCAGTTGTTCGCAATGCGCGCGCCAATGCATTGTCTCTTGGGCGAACCGATCTCGCATTGCCAGAGTTCGGCCGCAATGTTGATGGAGCGGCTTTGCCATCGTAGCGCGAAACAACCTTACCCGCGGTGGGCGACAAACAGCCCTGGACAAGGGTAGGGGTAATACGTTCACCACGCATTGCTGCCGTGGTGGCAGACAAGGTGGCTGTCGCGTTGCTGTAGTAGTTGTGGTTGTTGTCGTGGTAGCTGTAATGGTAGTTATGGCGGTGGGTGCCGTGGAGGTACTCAAGGTAGCTGACGTGTTGCGTTGCCGTGGGGGTTTTCGGAGTAGTTGTCGTGGTAATTGTCGTGGTAGTTGTTGTGGTTGCTTGGGTGGGTTGCAGCTTGATGAGCATGCTGGCTCTCATTACAAGTGCCGTGTCAATCGTCATTACTACAGTTTTCTGAAATTAGTTCAAAGGCATCTTTTGTATGTGCGTTATTCCTTTTACTGACGATGCCGATGCAAGTGAGTCGTTATCCTCAATGTTTGAAGGATCTGTGAGTACGATCGGTTCGCGCTGATATTCCAATCCTATGTATTGCCTTCACGTTGTCCACTTCGTAATGTTTAGCTGCTGCGGAGAGGAGAGCAATGAGAAGCATGTGAGAAAGGCATCACAATTCTGCGGGCTCTGAAATGTATTTCTGGATATGTCTCGATCGCGGGCGCCCGATGCCCACCTGAGGGCTGGTCACCGCGCTTCCACCGACACGCCCAAATGGTTTAACGCGCAGTGACTATGGCCTCCTCCTCCTCTTTCTCCTCCCTCCCTCTTCCTCGTGATGCCGTGACGCATGCATGTTTTTCGGTGCGGTTCGCAGAACAACATAAACATATAAGCATACACTCTCGGAGCTCCGCGCGAATTTCTCGGATCGGCGCCGGGCGCCCCGGGCGTCGCCTTTGCGCCGTCCCTGGCGCGCCGCGCTTCTGAGGTTCCAGCACCGACCCAGGAAGCTTCGTATGTTAATAATCAGTTTGTTTGCTCCTCCAGAGGTTGGGTTCAGCCTGGGTCACACCTCGCTGTTGTTCATCAACGCGCACCTTCCTGCCCACAACGGCAAGATGAAGGAGCCCGGCGATGACCGGCAGTCCTTCTCTGTCCGCCATGTTTCTGCCGTCTCTCTGCGACGACAGGCTCCTTGCGCGAAGCACGGCAGTAATTCGGGACGCGAGGCAGGAGCGGGGACCGCCGTGATTGCGCCCCCCCCCCCCTGGGCTTGAGTTCTCTGCGCTGCTGCCCCGCAGGCGCGTGGAGAACCGCCCAGGCTGGACAGGTGCCCCTCTCCACGGCGCGGGGATGCGGCGCGAGGGCGCGATGACAGCAGCCGTCCGGCATGGTGCGCGAAACCAGGTGGCCAGTGGTGCCCGCAACAACTGATGCGCTTGTACCCCGTGAGGGGTCCAGGGACCGACTTTGAGCGGAGTCATTCGGCCCCCCCCCTTATTGGCAGATTTTCTCGGGGGCCATCCAGCGCAGACCCCCCGACCGCCTCCAATGTCATGTGAAATTCAGCATGGGCGCTGGTATACAGTCAGGAGTCTGAGGACAATGTTTTCCGAGAGTGCCCTTGCGTCCTTGCATCTTCGGCCCTTGCGTCTTTTCGACCATGCCTGGGCTTGGTATCCTTGCGTCCTTGGGATTGTTGCCGCACGCCGCTGGAACAGCTCAGGTTGGGCGTCCAAGGCCCTTGCGTCCTTACCACGCGTCCTTTTGCTCCAGTTTGATTGCTTCCGTGGTCGGCAGTCAGTGCAATCCCGCACAATTCGTTTTGTTTCTGTTTGATTTGGCCGAATCCCGGCCAATCCGGCCTAATCCAGCGTAGTGGCTTGCCAAGGGACCCGGCCGTTCGGGCAAAGAATTCCCTGGAGATGTTTCCCAGCAACAATGCAGCAAGAAACGTCCAAAGTTTTGGATCCTCCTGCCTCTTGCCGGCTTGCCACGCCTCCGTCGGTTCGTGCTTGTCCATTCGCGGGCCCAGGAAGTCTCGACCCCTTCTTAGGACCTGGTTTCTCCTCCTGGAGGATGTGATGTTCCGTCGGCCCTGGGGCCGGGGTTACGGAAGCCAACATCGAGGAACACATTCCGCGACAGTTTTTTGTATCTTCGTCTCAGGAGCAACGATAGGGGGGATAGGCTCAGGGGGGAACGCATAGACCCCCAGGGTCTGATAGCCACACCCCGCCCAGGAACGTTCGGATTCGCTATCGGGGACCCATCGCTGATCTATCGGCGATGTACTGTTGAGTCCATGTCGAGTTTCCCCCTATGCCAGTCCTCCCCTAACTATCCTTGCCCCTCATCGTCCCTCTGGCCAACTTCGCCGCCGCAGGTGTGGGCGGGGTCGGACTTGCACGCAGGGCACCTCGACAAAATGATGATTGGCTCATGCAGGAGGGCACCAACTTAGCACCTACACCGGTCCTTGCCAGGCCCATCCTGGGCCACGGATTCCAGACATCAGACATCGGATATCTTAACTGTTTCAAGACGGTGTCCCTGGAAGGCCCGACAGTTTCATGCAGGAGTAATTTGTTGACGGCCCCGGATCTCGACAACTATTTTCAGATATTGGAAATTGCGAAACAAAAGCGTTTTGATCTTGTGGCTTTCGTCGCACCGCTGTGCCCATTGAGCCTTTGGGATTTCTCTGACTGTGGTCTGGAAGCGTCCCGCAAGAGATCCTCACCCAGCGGCCCACAGGCGAGCAAGGTATACGCGACGAAGAAGAGCATCAGGTTGGGGAACAGAGGAACCGTAAAGCACTCGACGCGCTTCGCACCCCAGAGGCGCTGTCGCCAGGGGATGATACGGATTTCACGGATTGGTGCGCGCGGTGATGGAGACGCCCGCGTTGATACGGTGTTCGAGCTGGATGAAATTACAGTCTTTCCTACAACAAGGTTTGCCGTCATCTAGAGTTGTGGGAGCTTTGGTGAGAACGTCTTGTGCTTGATCCTCGTAATCGGAGCAAGCGACTCCTGCGGCAGAGGTTTGAAAACATCATTTCGCAGGCCTGGTTGCCCCCACAATAGGGGAGGGGGCAGGCCCACGGAGGGCGGACAATCCCGGCCTGTCTGGGGGGACGGGGGGGGGGGCGATGCCGGGCATAACATGTTTTGACCTCCTCCTCCCCCTCCTCCTCTCCCTCGTCCTCCTCCTTCTCTTCAGCTTCCTCCTCCTCCTCCTCCTCGTCCTCCTCGTCGCTCTCCTCCTCCTCCTCCTCCTCCTCCTCCTCCTCCTCCTCCCTCTCCTCCTCCTCATCCTCCTCTTCCTCTTCCTCCTCCTTCTCCTCGTCCTCCCCCTCCTCTTCCTCCCAGTTGCCGCGGTCGTCCGCGAGAACGATTGCGCCGACCAGAAGGACAGACGACAACGAAGACGACGACGACGACGAGGACGAGGACGAGGGTGATGACAAGGACGACGACGACGGACGACGACGGCGACGACGCTGACGACGACGACGACGCACTGCGGATGCCCCCCTATGGGGGTGGTGCTGCGTAGGCCTGCTGTAGTCGACGACGCCGACCACTGCGGATGCCCTACGGGGTGGGGGGCTGCGTAGGCCCGCTGTGGTCAACGACGACGACGACACCGACGTCCGACGGCGACGGCGGCGGCGACGACGATGGCGACGACGGGGACAAGGATGAGGACGAGGACGAGGACGAGGAACAGGACGACGACGAACGACGACGGCGAAGACGACAACGCACGATGGATGCCTCATGGGGGGGATGGTGCGTAGGCGAGTCGACGGCGACGGCGACGACGAGGACGAGGACGAGGACGAGGGCGAGGACGACGACGAAGGACGACGACTGTCGGCGACGACGACGCAGTGCGGATGCGCTTTGGGGTGGGTGGGTGCTGCGTAGGCCCGCCGTACGCCCAAGGCGACGACGACGACGACGACGCACTGCGGATGCCTTCTGGGGGAGGCGCTGCGTAAGCCCGCTGTAGTCGACGAAGACGACGCCTTGCGGATACCCTAGGGGGGGGGTGTTGCGTACTGCGTAGGCCCGCCGTACGCCGTAGGCGGCGACGACAACGACGACGACGACGACGACGGCGACCGACGGCCACGACGGCGACGACGGACGACTACGACGACGTCGTCGTCGACGACGACGACGGCGGCGGCGACGACGACGACGGACGACGACGACGACGACGCATTGCGGATGCCTTATGGGGTGGCTGGTGCTGCGCAGGCCCGCTGTAGCCGACGCCGGCGACGCACTGCGGATGCTTGTTGGTGTGTGTGTGTGTGCGTGCGTTGTGTAGGTCTATGCCCGCTGCAGTCTAGTCGACGACGAAGACGCACTGCGGATGCCGGGGTGCTGCGTAGGCCTGCTGTAGTCGACAGCGACGACCACGCCAACAACGACCGACGACGTCGTCGACGACGACGACGACGGACGACGACGTGGACGACGACGACGACGACGACAGACGACAGACGACAGACGACAGACGACGACGACGACGACGACGGCGACGGCGACGGCGACGGCGACGGCGACGGCGACGGCGACGGCGACGGCGACGGCGACGGCAACGGCGACGGCGATGGCGACGGCGACGGCAACGACGACGGACGACGACGACGCAGTGCGGATGCGCTATGGGGGTGGGGGGTGGCGCTGCGCAGGCCCGCTGTAGTCGACGACCACGACGCACTTCGGATGCCCTATCGGAAAGGGCGGGGTGCTACGTAAGCCTAGGCCCGCGCGACGACGACGCACTGCGGATGCTCGGGCGCTGCGCACGTCCGCTGTAGTCGACGACGACGACGACGACGACTACGACGGCGACGGCAACGACGGCGGCGACGACGGCGACGGCAGAAAGGGAGGACAGACCAATAACATATCAGTTATGGTGGTTGGGTGCTCGTTCGTCTGCCCAACTCAATTATTTTGAGGTCCCCGTGTTTTTTTTATGCGAAACCTATTATTATTATTGTTATTATTATTGTTATTATTATTGTTGTTGTTGTTATTATTTTTTTTTGTTTTCCTATCTGGCCCTTTTTTCCCATTAAGTGTTGCATATATGAAGTGCCCGACACGTCTGGGGGTGGGACAGGGAGGAATCATCGACCAGGAGATTCGATCATGGGCGCTAGCTCCACGAGTGTTTGATGTATTCGGGTGATCATTTGTTGCAATTTTAGAGCTAACATGGTAATCCCGACAGCCGGGACGACCGATGTGTTTGATTTCAAGGCGGAGCGGAAACGCCAGATGAGTGGAATGCCTCTCTAGAGTGGATCATGACCCCCCTGGTGCTAGCCTGGACGCGCCGAGGTTGGGGGGCGAACTTGGACATGGCAGGCGTTGATCGTGTCACACGCGTGACTTGGGCTGACAATATTGTTTTACTGTGCAACTCCGCCGCTGAGTTCCGCGTGATGGCGCAGGAGTTGACCACGGCACTCAACAACGCAGGGCTCAAGTGGAAGAACGGCTCCCTTGAACTGCTGACGTGCCAGGGCCGACCTGTACGCTCCGAGTCCTTCCAGATAGTTTTGCCGGGAGGGGAGGAGATGCAGTTTGTGGAGAAAGACCACATTGTACTCCTCGGCATCAGCTTGGACCGTACGGGCAGCACTCTGGCAAGTGTGATCCACAGATTGGCGCGCGCCGAAAAAAGCATTTTGGACAGTCTCTAAAAAGCTATGCGGCCCAGGGCCCATCCAGGCCAAACTCGGAGCATGGCGAGCAGTGGTTATATCATCCGCGCTGTTTGGTTGCAAAACGTGGCATCTAGCTTCCCATCTTCTACATAGGTTGAGAATCTGGGAACTCAAGTTCCTCCGCCGCGTGTTTCGCATGAAGCCTACGCCGAGCGTTGGACCCTTGGGATCACTTGAGCCACGAATGCATTATAACAAACGGACTACAGCAAAAATCTACAATTGGTTTGCTACCGGTGGCCGTGCGAGGGCGTTCCAAAGATGCGCTAAAGCGGTGCACAAGGCAGCGTGGGACGAGACCACCGTCGTCCTTGCGAGCGGCGCTAATATTTTGTCTGCAGCCCGTCGCGGAGTTAGCAGAGAGTGGTGGGAGTGCATGAAGACAGTGCCAGCCCATGAGCGTAGGAAGGATAATGTTGTGTTCACACGGTGTGGGCCGCAGAGTTTTTGGGAAGACCCGTTGGTGTTGGTTTGGGGGCTCCATTGGAGGTCCGCTCGAGACGATCATCGATCTTCGACTGCGTGGACACGCGAAGCTTGCGAGACGATTCGGTTACTGTCAGAAGCATGGAAGCTTCCTTATACTGCGCTGCTTCCCCGTGCAATTGCGACGCCCACGGGTCGCAAGAAGGCGATTCGTACTTCTAGCGGCCCCCCGGTGGAAATTCCCGATTTGCACCCGCATCCGCAGGATCATGAATGGCAAGATGATAGAGTTCGCTTTCGCTTGGTGGTTGACTGCCAGGTCTTGGCGGGTCTCGTTAACGGCACCACGCTTCTGCTCGATGAGTCGTACCTCCCCCCATTGCGACGCATTGCATCTTCGTTGGACCGGCTCCTGCAGCGCGGCCTACGTCCGCCTCGGGACTGGGACGATCCAGCTTGTTGGCTGGAGCGCTCGTGGAATCGACAGGCGGATTGGGTTGCAAATCGCACGATGGACGCCCAGCAGGAGGTCCATTGGGTGGTCCCGAATATCGCCAAGATTGCACAAGGATCGCATGTATTATTATTCTCCGATGGTGGGTTCCGTCGTGGCACTGGTCGAGCTTCTGCAGGCTTTGCCGCTTACGTGCGTGATGCGAGGATTGGTGGCACCAGACTGGTGGCTTTCAAGGGCTGCGCACTCCAGAATATCCACAGTGCATTCCAGACAAGAAGTCCTTGGGCTCGAAATGGCTATAGACTTTTTGATGCAATTTTCGATTGGTACATTCGCGATGTAGTTCTAGTTTCTATCAGTTGTAAGCATATGCGCTGTAATCGTTTCTTCTTGCGTTGCCCGGGCGTGTCACATGACATTAAGCCTTTGCCACAAACACATGTTGCAATTTCCTTTTGGGCCTTGAGTTCAAGGATTGGGGAGGACGAGCGAAGGAAAATAGGAGGCATGGGAGGAGGAGGATGAGGAGGATGAGGAGGAGGGTCGCCATATGCGGGGACTCTTCCCCCCCGCGCCCGGAGGGGGGGCCCGCCAGCCCCCCGCCCGCGGCGGCGACCAGCACGGCGCCCGGGCTGCGCGCCCATGGCGGCTTGGAAGCCCGCGAAGAAGTGCGATACCAAGAGCTACGAGCATACTGGCCGTTACTGGCCCTCGGCCGAGACTTACCGGCCCCGTATGTGGAATGTGGCCGAGGACGCCAACGCGGACATCACGGACTACAAATCTCACGTCATATGCGAGGTGCCGCATCGCATACGCGGCACGACAGGGGCACGTCGTCTCCGCCAAAGACATTGCCATACTCCTGGCCAATGGCACCAGCAACACTGCGGCCAACGCACAGACAGACGCCAGCACGAGCAACGCCTTCATCATGATAAACTTGAACGCCACCGACTTCGTGCCCACAGCCCACCGCCACTTCCACCTCCGCGACTACGACCAGCAGTACCACCACCAGCAGTGCCACGACTACGCCTACTACTACCACCATGACCAGGATTTCCTCACCTTGCCGCCCATCACCCCGACCAGCCTCGAGCACGGCCACGATTGGGAGGACGGAGAAGGACGACTCGGACGGCCAGGAGGATGACGACCAGGACGACGGCCAGGAGGAGGACGACCCGGACGACCTGGAGGACAGGAAAATGCAGAAGCACACGAGGGAGGAGGTAACTACGACGGAGGAGCACACGATGAAGGAGGTACGCACGCCAGCAGCGACACCAGCTCCGCCCGCAGCATCGATTCCAGCGCCGACGCCAGCGCCAACTCCAGTACCGGCGCCAGCATCGAAGACGCCAACGAATCCAGCTCCGGAGCCAGCATCAGCGTCAGCAACAACATCACCACCGACGCCAGCATCAGCCTCAGCATCAGCGTCACCGCCGACGCCAACATCGACGCCAGCGCTTGCACCGACGCCAGCATCAGCCCCAGCACCAGTACCTAGATCGAAGACGCCAGCGACTCCAGCACCAGAGCCACCATCAGCCCCAGCGTCAGCATCAACAACGAGGCCGACTGCAGCACCGACACCAGCGCCGTCCTCACCATCGACTCCAGCACCGACGCCAGCATCAACCCCAGCATCAGCGACAGCGTCGAAGACGCCAGAGACACCAGCACCGGATCCAGCATCAGCGCCAGCAGCAACGTCGTAACCGACGCCAGTATCCGAGGTACCACCGGCATCACCACCGACGCCCGCACCAACCCCATCACCTATGCCAGAATTAGAAGCAGAATCAGTTCCAGCATCGCAGACACTAGCGACTCCAGCAGTGGAGCCAGCATTAGCGGCATCATCAGCGTCACCACCTAAGGCCAGCATCGACTCTTGCATCGACACTGGCACCACCCCAACTATCGACGCCAGCACCGACCCCAGCATCAGCCCCAGCATCAGCGCCGGCATCTGAGACGCCAGCGACTCCAGCACTGGAGCCAGCAGCCAGCACCAACGTCAGCTTCAGCACCACTACCGACGCCAGCATCGACTCCAGCATCGGCACAATTACCGCCCCCACCATCGACGCCAGCACCGACGCTTGCATCAGCCCCAGCATCAGCGACAGCATCAAAGACGACAGCGACTCCAGCACCAGAGCCAGCATCAGCGTCAGCAACAACATCACCACCGACGCCAGCATCAGCTTCACAGCCGACGCCAACATCGACGCCAGCGCTTGCACCGACGCCAGCATCAGCCTCAGCACCAGTACCTGGATCGAAGACGCCAGCGACTCTAGCACCAGAGCCAGCATCAACGCCAGCGTCAGCATCAACAACGAGGCCGACACCAGCACCACCCTCACAATCGACTCCAGCACCGACGCCAGTATCAACCCCAGCATCAGCGACAGCGTCGAAGACGCCAGAGACACCAGCACCGGATCCAGCATCAGCGCCAGCAGAAACGTCGCAAGCGACCCCAGCATCAGAGTCAGCACCAGCGTCACCACCGACGCCAGCACCAACGCCAACACTTATGCCAGCATTAGAAGCAGAATCAGCTGCGGCTCCGAAGACACTAGCGACTCCAGCAGTGGAGCCAGCATTAGCGGCATCATCAGCGTCACCACCAAGGCCAGCATCGACTCCTGCATCGACACTGGCACCGCCCCCACTATTGACGCCAACACCGACCCCAGCACTAGCCCCAGCATCAGCGCCGGCATCTGAGACGCCAGCGACTCCAGCGCTGGAGCCAGCACCAACATCAGCTTCAGCACCGCCACCGGCGCTGGCACCGACTCCAGCATCTGCACTCCAGCATGGCGGCACTCGGCCACAACCGCCTCACCCTTCTCCCCTGTACCCATCTTCGGCTACGCACCCACGACGTTGGCGGCGACACCTGTCCGAGGTCTGCGGCCCCCGCCTCCGCCGCGGGCGCATGGCCTGCGGCCGCCCCTGCCCGCGTCCCCGATCAGAGACCTGGCCACTCCCCCCCCCTCTCCCAAATCCACGACTCCCTCCCCGCCCACGCCCGACTGTGACGACAACTACCTCTATGGTCAAGACAGGTCTGGACAGGCGGGGGGGGATGAGGTCAGCGGTGGGGTGGGTCAGGAAGGCGCACGACAGTCGACCCGCAGATCCCTTCCCTTGTTTCCTCCCCCCCTTCGTTCGATCCGCCGTCCGTGTCCGACTTCGTCCTCCTCTTTCGGGCCCCCGTCCGTTTCTCTCCCCCTCGTACCTCGCCGGCCCCGCCACCAGAGATCGGCCCATTTTCGGAATGACCCTCTCTTGCTGTGCCATACGGCAACCGCAGGAGGGGGCCAATGCAGCAGGGAGTACCCATATACCGCCATGAGCAGCAGCAGCAGCAGGAGGAGGAGGAGGAGGAGTAGGAGGAGGACGACGTGGACGAGGAGGAGGAGAAGGAGGAGGAGGAGGAAGAGGAGGAGGAGGAGGAGGACAACTGAAGAGGAAAAGGGGGAGAGGGCGGGAGGAGGGAGGGACGGGTTTCAGTTGGCGGATCTTCGTGCGCATCGTCTGCCGTCGCGCGACGCTGCATCGCCTGGAGCCTAGCGGTTGTGCAGCGCGACCGGCCCATTCGCGCGCGACTTTTATTTTTGCCGCCGCCCCCCCCCCCGCAGCCGCCGCCGCCGTCGTCGTCATCGTCATCGTCGTCGGCGGCGTCGGCTTATGGGTGCATTCCGCGTCGCCAGGAGCGCACCAAGTGCTTCGGCAGGATCCTGGAGGACCCGTTCTTGTAGGGGGGGCGGGGAGCGGGGCAGACGGGAGGGAGGGGAGGTGGAGGAGGAAAGATGGAGAAGGGGGAGGAGGTGGGGGGGGAAGGGAGGGGGGGGGGGGGACGGGGCGGCGGAAGGTGCTTTGGACGCGATGGTCGTGGTCAGTAAACACCTGCTCACCCAGAGTTCGATACAACAAATGAAAGGGCTGCCTCCTGGTCGGGGGAGCGGGTTGGCGGGGGGAGACCCCGCCAGGCAGGAGTGGAAACCTTGGCGATCTTCTTGGGCTATGCAAGCAGTGGGAAACCATGCGCCACATAGCAGAACATATACGATGAGACGAAGCGTACTGGACCCTGGTCTATCATGCAAAGCGCGTGTAAACCCATGGGCGCATGCCCGAAGGGGGAGGGATCGCGGACCGCCCTTGACCTGCCAACCACGCCTCCCAGCGCCTGGTGGCAAGCGGGGGATGGGGCCGGGGGGCTCCGAGCTTGGGGGGGGGGGGAGCCCAGCAAGGGGGGGAGCCCTGGTCGCCACACCCCGATCGCCCCCCCGAGGAGGGGTGGCTGCCGATCATGGGGCCGGCTATCCAAGGTTTGCTCGGTTCTCCGAGGGACTTGATCGTGCCCCACCATGCTGGGTACCCCCCTCGGGGCGTTGTGTGGAGGGGGGGAAGGGGAGGAAGGGAGAAGGTGAAGAAGGGAGGCAGGAATGAGGGGGGGATGCTGACGTTTCCTGTATCGCTTGGTCCTCGGGGGGGGGATCACCGCCACGGCTGGATCAGAGCGCGCTCCTGAGGAGAGAGGTCCAGGCCGAATTGCGAGGCTAGGGGGGAGAATGGGGTGTGCAAGAGTAGGAGGAGGAGCAGCAGCAGCAGCAGCAGCAGCAGCACAGGAAGAGCAGCAGGAGGAGGATGACGACGAGCGGCAGCAGGAGGAGGAGAGAGGAGGGGTCGGCGGTGCGCAGACAGGGCAGCGCGAAGGGGGGCGGCCAGCGGCCCTCGAAGAGGGCGGGAGACTCCTCGGAAGGCAAGGGCCTTCTTCCGAAGGGCCTGGAGGCTTCGAAGACGGCCTCTCGGAGGCCTTGAGTTTGGCGTCGCTCGGACGTGTGCCTTTTGTTTGTTTCTCGGCGAGGCCCATCGAGGAACATCCTGGACCATCTTGCGACAACAATAGGTGCACGACATCGAAAAAAAACACGGGAAACGGACGTCGGAGCGATGGCGAGTGAGGGTTTCGAAGAAGGTCTCTTGGGAGATTTGAGTCTCAGCTCCGAATCACCAGGGCTGGGGGTGGTCGGGTGTAGCTGCAGATTCGCACCTCGTGAGCCCAGACCGGAGTTACCCAGGACCGCAGCTCTCCCGGATAATTCGGGCGCCCAACCCTCCCGAATCGTCGGGGTTGGGGGCCGTCAGGGGTGCCACGGGTCCGTCTCTGAGGGGCCCAAATCGGAGTTACTCCGGACCGCATCCATCCTGGATAATTCGGGCGTCCACTTGAGGGTTTCTCAGGAGCCTCCTACCGTCCTCTTGCCGCCCTCCTCTCGCCACCCACGTGCGCGCGCCGCCAAAAAGGGTAAGGCTCTCGGACGTCCATCAGATGTTCTCGAAGGCACCTCGTCTGAGCTGGCACGAGCAGGCACAGTTGTTTACAGGGCTGGCCATGAGCTTGAGAGAAGGTGGTCGCTGCCAAGGTTGGATCGACCTCGGGTGCTCGACGGCTGCTGTGCCAAACCCAAAGCCAGGGGGAAAGGATCGGGTGATGTGCAACTGAGAAACCGCGGGCTGAGCGGCTTCTGGGTCGTCTCCGGCTCGTTCCCGTTCGTCGTGGTGCATTGCCTTGTCATCGTGCTCCAGGGTTGCGCTCAGAGAAGGCGCGGGCGACGCACACACAGACTGGCTTCTTCGCCTCGCAAGGGGAGGAGGAGGAGGAGGGGGAGGAGGAGGAGGAGGAGGAGGAGGAGGAGGAGGAGGAGGAGGAGGAGGGGGAGGGGGAGGGGGAGGGGGAGGGGGAGGAGAAGGACGAGGAGGAGGAGGAGAAGAAACAGGAGGAGGAGGAGAGGGGAGGAGAAGCAGGAGCAGAAGAAGGAGGAGGAGGAGGACGAGGACAGCAGTGCGCATTTCTCCCCCTTCCCCTCCCCCCCTGAGGGAGCAGGAGCAGTCTCTCAGCGGGACGAGCTCCCGCGCGCGGCGGCTCGCGGGCGAACACGGGTCGGCCGCCGCGGCGGAACGGCATGGGCGGATGCGGCGCTCGACACAGGAGGAGGAGGAGGAGGAGAATTCGGAGGAGGGAAAACATGAACACAGATGAGCGGGATGATGATGATGATGAGGAGGAGGAGGAGGAGGATGCTGATACTGATGATGATGATGATGCTGATGATGATTATGATGATGATGATGTTGTTGATGGTGGTGATGATGATGACGGTGCTGATGTTGCTGACGGTGGTGATGGTGATGTTGTTGATGATTGTGATGATGATGATGAGGTGGAGGAGGATGAGGATGCTGGTGATAATGGTGATGTTGATGTTGATGATGATGATGCTGGCACTTTGGTGGTGGTGGTGGTGCTGATGAGGACGATGATGCTGATGGTTATGGTGATAGTCGCAATGATGATGATCATAATGATGATGACGTTGATGATGACGTTGATGACGATGACGTCGTCAACGACGACGATGTTGATGAAGGTGATGATGTTGATGCTTCTGGTGACGATGATGATTACGATTATGATCATGATGATGTTGAAAATGACGATGATGCCGATGATGACGATGATGATGATTTTGATGATGATGATTGTGGTGGTGATGATGAGACCTATGTCGATGATGATGACGACGATGATGATCGCGATGCTGCTGCTGTTGATGACGACGACGACGACGACGGTGATGACGACGATGATGATGATGATGAAGACCATGACCAGGTTGATGATGATGATAACGATGATGAGAATGATGATGGTGATGCTGATGATGATGCGGATGATGATGATGATGATGGTGACGATGATGATCATGATGATCATGCTGGTCATGATGATCATGATTACGACGACGATGATGATCATGACCATGTTCATGATTATGGTGATGGCGAGGGTGATGATGGTGATGATGATGGTACTGATGGTGATGGCTGTGATGATGTTGACGAGGATGGCGAGTACGCCGCGAAGGGGCTGGTCAACTACCTCGCTTGGTGCCTTTCGGTGCCGTCCTGCCGCGCGTGCCTGAGGCTCACCTGCCAGGCCTGCGGAGCGTGTCAGGTGCCGTTGTGCCCAGGGCTTACTTGCCCGGCCTGTTCGGCGCGCCCGGCCGCCCCGGAGGCGGCCCCGTGCTCTGGCAGCGGCTGGGGCTTGGCCTGGTTCATGATCGGCTTGATCGTCGGGGCTGCTGGGCCGCTGGCCCTGCTCGGCGGGCTCCAGACGGCCCGCTGCTGCCAGCACCCCGCGCCGCTGGGCTTCGAGGGGCCGCCGTCGGAGCCGCTCGTGAGCATCGACGATGGCAACGTGGGCGTTTGTGCTGTACATTGGGGCCGGCGCCCGTCAGGTGTGGCACCAGAGACTGGTGCTATGAGTGGTTGCGTTGTCGGGCGACAAGCTGCACATGATCGCGACCCAAGACCGACACGTGTACGCAAAGGACTACGGCCCAGGCTCCGCGGACGTCGCGGCCATGCGGTGGGCCCCCGCGTTCAGCGTCCTGCCCGACGGCATCCCGCCAGGAGACGTATGTCGCTTCCGCGCGGAGCCGACGGCGGCGCAGGTGGCGGCCTTCACGGCGGCGGCGGCGGCCGAGGCGGCCACGGGCGGCGGCGTTCGCGACGGCCCAGGGGGTCGCCGCGCCTGCGGCGGCCGCCGGGTGCCTGTTGCCGATGGCGCAGCACGCGGTCGTCGCCTGGCCTGCGAGGAGGGGGCTGCGCCGGCCCCTAGCGCCGCTCCGCCCGGGCCCTGGGGCGTGGCACCAGCCGCCGCCGCGGCCCCTCCGCGGACACCTCCGCCTGCAGGGCGTGGGCGGCGCGGCGGGGCCGGAGGAGCGCCCGCCACGTTGGCTGGCCGCCGAGAAGTTCGGCGGGTACCGGCTGGGCGACGAGGTGCAGCACGTGGCGAGGGCGGGCGCCGTCGGCAACAAAGACATCCATGTCCTCCCCGACGGCACGGGCCTCCTCGTGGTGTACCTTCGCCCCCCAACGACGAGGAGGCTTTTTTCGACGGCATCGTGGCCGCGGACACGCGGATTCTGCCCGTGCTGCAGAACAGGCTCGGTCGTCGAGAGCGGACTTGGGGCGACATGTGCTCGACGGTCAGAAAGGAGGACTTCGGGAAAGACTGGGGGGGTCCATGATGACGCACCGCGGCATGGTGCCTCGAGCACATCAACGCGGAGGGAGGCAGCCTGGATGCACACCATGATCGTTTCAGATCGCCCTGCTGGCACGAGCCGAACGGTTGGGGAGTGGCCGAGCATTTCCACTTCTCGGGCGCTGCGAAGGCCGCCGCCGGATCAGGGGGCGAATCGCCCCCCTGCGATTTTCATGTTTTGTTTGTCGTTATGGTGGCTCGTGCAGGAGAGTTGTTGGCTGATGCGCGTGCTGCCTCCGACCAGACAAAATACCTGAACACCCGCGTCCTCCATGTTCTCGCATTGCGCCTCCCGCGACGATGCGATCACTTTTTCGTGGGGCGGACAGAGCTTCAGCCCCAGCCAGCCTAAGCCAGCCACGCCTGAGCCCTAGCCGGAGACAAGCCTAAGTTTCAGTCCAACCCTTAGCCTTAACTTAACATGAACCCCAGCCGAAGCCAAAGCCGAAACCTCAACCAAAGCCTAGCCTGAGCCTCGGCCCTCTTATTGCTGTACGAGGGTATTATTATTACTATTACTACTACTACTACTACTACTACTACTACTACTACTACTACTACTACTACTACTACTACTACTACTCTACTACTACTACGACTACGACTACTACTACTACTACTACTACT